AAAGACACTGGTGCATACGTTTTCATTTCACCTTTGTTGTCAGTCTTCACATAGTCTTCAACCATGAGCACAAAACCGGTTCCATGATAGCTTGCGTCACAGAGTATTACGTATTGTAGTCCTGGTTTTGGTAACCGAAGTGTTATGTCTGTTGCTTGTATCAGATCATGCTTGAGCACTTCAAGACTTTTATGGTGCTCTTCATCTGTTTGAAAAGCAACATCTTTTCTGAGAAGTCGATAAAAAGGTATCAGTTTTTCTCCTAGGCTTGGCATATAGTTGCGAAAAAACTGTACAAAACCGATTAATCGTTTAACTTGTTTAACCGTTTGTGGCATTTTAATTTTCTTTAAGAACGTGGAGATTTTCTCTTGTTCCGGTGACACTCCTGCTGGTGTGATTACGTTACCCAGGAACTTCAGTCTTTGTGTTCCGATCTCACATTTGTTCGGCGACAATTTAAGTCCTGACTTCCGTACACATTCGAATATTTTCGAAAGGGTCGGTATCATTTCATCGAAGTTATACACAGCGCTCCCTATGTCATCCATGAATTGTGTACATAGGTCCGCAGCTAAGCATGGATCAAGGTAGTGTCGGATAAAAGAACTAAATCCTGTTACTGATTTACTTAGACCTTGAGCCAGGCATTTGTATGCGTAAGTTCGTGAACCGAAGTTAAATGCCAAAAGTTGGACTGAAAGGTCATCTGCCATTTGCACACAGTGGTATGCTTGTGAGCAATCAAGTTTGGTAAACAAGCTCTTTCCTGCGAAGTGGTTCGAAGCATCGGTCATGTTTGAGATCGGAAAGTTGCTGTTGATATAGTCATTCTTGAGTGAATGGTTTATCCTTCTGAGGTCAATCAACATCCGCAATTTACCAGATGGCTTTCGATGTGCAAATAGTGGACTACTGTATTTTGAATGTGACAATGTTGTTATAAGTCCATAATAGTGCATAAGGGCAAGTTCCACTGTCAATTCGTGTCGCAAATGTATCGGCGTAGGTGGTCCTTGTGTATACAGAGGTCGTGTGTGTTCCGGTTTTAGTTTGATTTTGAGGTCGGAATTGTACCCAACATCGAATCTATGTTTGGCAAAGATGTCCGAAAAGTCAACAAGCAAATCTTCTACTTTTGACCTTTGGTCTTCTGTCAACACTGAATTCTCCCACTTAAAGTTCTTGATAAATTTCAATCGATCTTGACATTTCGTTTTCGGTTCAAGTTTTTCAAGACCTTGAAAATGAAGAATTTGGTCGTAAATGTCGCGTTGGATTTGAGGAAGTAATTCAGGGTTTTGACATGTTTCAGGCGTAGGAAACCAAAATTTTTCATACTCAGGTTCATGCTTCATTTGGGGCTGCTGACTATCACACGATTGTTGAATTAGCTCATTAATGCCCATTTCAATATCGTCCGGGTGGTTCATTTTTGCAAATGCAATCATTTCAGGTTCGATGGGGAATAAATTTTCTGCTTCTTTCAGAGTCAGAATTGAAAATTTCCCAATTTCGGTTTTGAAAGGCAAAGTAATGTGATGATCGGTGATGTTAAACGCTGTGATATACAACAGGTTGTTTTTCAGCACTTCGCTTATTGAAGAAGTGAACGCAATTTCACAGTTTTCTTCAAATTCCTGAGCTGGAATCACGATTCCGGTAGTTTTTTCCATGTCTTGACATGTGTTCTCTAGCTGGCATTCTACAAGAATTGTCTGATGCGGGGCTATTGTTTGACGTTTTGTCATAAGCAAAGGGAATTTTTTCACTCTATTGACTCTTCTTGGCTCGTTTGGAGGTTTTATTTCGTTGATTTGAAGGGTCATATCTTTGAAATGCAGTAGATTATACTTCGGACAGACATGAATATGATGTTTTTTATAGAAAGGATTTCCTAGAATTATTGAATTGGCTGCATGAAGAACGAGAAATGATTCTATAAAGGTCATGTCTGCCAATCGGAATTCTAACGTTACTTCAGTTTCAATGGAGACTTGCTGTCCTCCTGCCATTCTAACTCTCTTCAGTTTGGGTTCATTTACTTCAAGAGGGCGAAATAGCGATTTTTCTTCTTTTAGGTCTTCAAATGTCTGTTTTGAGATAACATTTGCGCAGGCTCCTGTATCGACCAGGGCTCTACGTTGTAATCCCGATGAGAAACGTAATTTCGTGTACGTCAGTACTGTTCCTTTCACAGGGATTATTGCGTAAAGGCTAAGTATCTCATCAGGTTGGAAAAGTTCGTTAGGTGATGATTTAGGTGATTTCGATGATTTAGGGGGCTGACTCAGTGGCTTTATTAGTTTTTTGGCTCGTTTGGAAACGGGAAGTTTTGTCCGCGTCCTTGTGGTTTCTGTCGCCACCAGCAGTGACTTGCTGTGTGGTTAAATTTTCCACAAACGTCACAAAATTTGGCTGATGATCGCACCATTGGTCCAAAAGGTCCGTTGGGATTTTGCGTTTCAGCTTGAGGCATTTGATTTACGACAAATTGTTGCGTCGGATATTTCTGGGACTGTTGAAATTGTGCTGATGGATGCATTTGAACCATTGGCTGTTGATTTTGGTACATGTTTGGGTACTGCTGATTTTGGGGGTACAATTGCGAATATGGCTGTTGTGCAACTGGTGGCATATGGTGAAAGTTTGGCTGAGTATTGTTGAAATCAAATTTATTTTGCCAATTATTTCTACGTCTTCCGCCTCTGTTGCCTCGTTGTTGTCCATACCCATTATTTTGGTTTGGCTGATAGCCACTATACTGATCACTCTGACTGTTGTTGTTCCGATTTTGTACGGGGAGCGGATTCGATTGTTTATTCGACTGCTCAGTTATTTGTGATCTCATTTCGTTAAGCTGCTTCTCCATTTTTTCCTGATTTGTGGACAATTTTGTGATAGCGCTTATTAAATTTTCTGAGACTTTGTCGTTTATTTCGTTAAATCCGTCTTCCGGGTAATCGTCTTTTCGGCAAATCTCACGAATGGTGATTTGCTTCTTGGTCAGGTTGCACAGTTCCTGAACTGTAGTTGCAGGTGGTTGTTCCATCAGTTTTGATCGCAGCCAGCCTGGCATTCTCTTAATGAACAGTCGTTTAATTTGTTCATTTCGGTTGTCATGTACAGCATCTATCCTTTCTTGCCTTTGAGCAGTTTCTCGGTGGAATCGTGCTGCTTCTGCTGCTGCAGGTGCTCCAATTATTGCAGGATCAATTGGGGCGACAGCTGGCAAATCTGGTGTCGGATACGCTCGCTGCGCTTTTTTCGTTAAGTTGACCAAGAAATTCTCTGGGGTATCTGTTTTCGGGTTGAATCGCAGTTGTTCTAAATTCAGAACGTGGATTTCTTGAAGTTGGGGGTTGCAAAAGTGATCCCTCAGGGCTATGAGACTCGCGGGAACGTTCGCTCGAGTTGCTGGTCCTAGTGTCTGGCAGAATCGCAGCGCGTTGTCTCGTAGGTGCAGTTGCAAGAAGTTCGCTTGTTGTGCGTTTGGTATCGCTGCTACTCCGATGTAGCCTTGAAAAAGTTGCTCGAATTCTGAAAAGTCTTCTTTTTCCGTTCCTCCATAGGGTTCGACCGAAACTTGCGCGTGTGCCATCGTATTACAGTCAAATGAATATCAGGATGATACAGTTGATGGTAAGATACAGCAGTTATTCAATTTAGGGGGAACACTAGGGAGTTTGCTATCTAAATTAGCTCTTAAAGAAAGCTAGTAGTATCACTGATCAGATTTACTGATGCAATTATATGGTTGTGCTAAAGTTTCCGTTACTTGACTTCTATGGTGGGGAAACTTAATGATAATTATATCAATTTACTGCAGGTTTGAGTTTCGAGTTTTGTTTTAACTAACTGTTTTTGTTGATTGTTGAAAAACCTGTAGATTTGCTTTCTTTGTATGCCTTGTCAGTAGCTCAGCTGCCTTGCCTTCTGACTGGAACAAGAAGTAGTGATGTTGTAGGTCACAATCCACATCTGCTTCTGTAGATTGGAGAAACTTTCAGCCCGGAGATGTTGAGAAGTTGAGGCTGTCTTCTTTTTCTCCCTGTCTGTCTCAGTTGTTCGCTGAATGTTGCTCTGCTTTCCACATCTGAGCGTTGCTGGGTGAAACGGGTTGTGTTGCCCTGTTCTGTTTCAGCAATGTCCGGTTGTCGTTGTCCGCTCGTGTGATGAAGATTGCAATTGCCGATGACTTTTGGTGAATCCAGAAGTAGAATCTTCCGCGACAGTCACCATGTGATATATTGTCCCTTCGGATGGCTGTGGACAGCTATATCGTCGTTTAATGATAATGTTGTAAGCTGTTCGAATATTAATTAGCGCTACTGGCTATCGATTGTTATTGATTGTTTCCATAATTTATATGTCTCGAGCGGTTAAGGCTTATCTTGCTTTTAAGGACGCAGGATTCGGTTCTTAACTTCTGGAATATCGCTAGTCGATCGGCGCAAGTTAGAGCATGATTCTAATATTTTATTCTCTTCAAGTCTACCCAATTGATTAGTAGCTCTGTCTAAATCTCCTCTGGTTGGTATTAATTACCATCAATATTTACATAGTTAAATAAATATAAATGTATGAACTTCATTTCATTAAAAAGGTTAATTATGTTATCTATTATAGCATAAGAATGCATGACGTCATGTAGTGATGTCACAATGATGATGATGATGTATTTTACGAAGAAGTTGATACTATTAAAATTGAACGACAATGATATCGTCATGGATCCTTACTCGCTGAAACGTTGACAAAAAATCATGATAGAAACAAAAAACAACAAAACAATAAGCAAAAATTGGAAAACAAAATCAAAATAGTCAAGAAAGTGCAAAATTTTTGCAACATGAAGTTATGAAATAATTTGGCAAAAAAATTGCTGTGAAACTGCACATTTCGTCAAATTTTCAAAAATCGGTGTCATAGAAGAACATGTCTTGAACTAATTATACGGTCGTTTTAAACGAACTCTCGTCATCGGAATTAAAGGGTACCTTGTTTGAAGACCGCTTTCTTCAAGATGGGTTCCAGAGACGGGTCGAGTTCCTCGTGTACATTTTGGAGCAATGTCGGAGTTCCATACTGGATGGCACCTTCCAGAATCCTCATGAAGTCCGGCATTTGCAGATCGATCACTTTCAGACTCTGAAGAGAGTTTGGAAATTAACAGAAAACACTAGACGAAATATATCATTATATCCTAATTAAAATCATACTTGGGGGAATGAAAAGAACTAAGCATGAAAAAAACTACAGTATAATGAATAGCATTTAGAATAACAGAAAATGCGCGTGCTAGCAATATTTTTTAAACCAAACAAATCTTGCAATGTACCCCCACATTTTTTAAGCTAGAAATTTCATTTCTAGGTTACTAATCAACCAAATTATCCTTTTGACTAATTAAAAATCAATTTCTAAATTTGTTATTTAAAGCAAGTTATACTAAAATTACAATGAATTTCTGCACAATTTGTATTTCTCCCACTAATTCGATCAGAGGGGAGGATAGAATTGTGGGAGCGTTGGTCCCAAAACTTTAGAAACATGCGTGATTTTAGAAAAAAAAGGTGTTTACAAATAACATCAGTAAGATATTTGCATGCTCGGGCTAAAAAGATGTGATATGAGGACAGAAACAGAACAAGAAGTCACCAACTTTAGTCTAAAACAAACAATAGATAACTTTCTCTTTTTCAATTATTCATCTTGTTCATCAGTTATTTTAATAAAATTAGGACCGAATAGCTCAACTAACAGCTGACAAGAGCCACGAAACACCTCACAGTGTTGGATAAAGTGCGAAAGCCTTCAATTAACAGATCAGTGCGTCAAAGAATTTGTGCAGTGAGTTGAATAAATAGCACAATTAGTGCACAAAAAACCTGGTTGAAAACCGTTCATGGCCAGACTGCAATAGAAAAAAAGAACATCTGTTCAGACTTCGTAAGAGTGGTGTAGACTGCTTACCCTTTTGATCTCCATGTTTTTGATCCACTTGATGGCCTGTCCCTGTGGATCGACCATAAGTGGCCATCGAGTGCCTCTGGTCACTACCACTCCGTTCTCAGTCGAGAACTGGTCAGCCGGGAGTCCCTGCAACACAAATCAACACAGGTCTTCACTTTGAACAGTTTGAAAAAGGAACTAAACTGAGTGGCCCGTCAATTACCCGAATAATTTGATTCGAAAAACGTGATAGAACATACTGCACTACTGCTTCAGTAAAAATGCTTTTATAAAACACTAGGGCTTTATGATTTATTAACAATTGTAATCAATCAGGAGAACAACTGCATTAAGTAGCATTATGCTGGTACTCTCCCTAATGAATAAATTATTTAGTTACAATAACCATTTAGTAGCATTATGCTGGTACTTTCCCTAGTGAATATAAATTATTTCGTTATGATGACCATAAAGATCCATTACTTTTCTCGCAGTTTATATTCAGTGCCAATTGACTGCTAACTGTGAGAGCGGTTCTCTACAAACAGCTAAGTAGCCGTATGCTGGTAATCTACTCTCCCTTGCCAGGAAATCAATCTTTTTACTAATAATAACCATAATGATGCAGTATTTTTCAAAGAGCTTATTTTCCCTGCGAAGTAATTGTGAGAACAATTCAAAGTTCATACCTGCAGATTCCATTCTCGCACAGTTGTGGGTCTGGACATGAAGAGGGCAAAGGAGAAGAAGGGGTTGCAAGGCACCTGGAGACTCCTGATCTGGGCGAGCCAGATGTTGTTGACCATCTCTTCCCTGTACTCGGACAGGAAGGGGCCACAGTAGGAGAGAAAGGCGGACGCAACTAGACAGTCGCCCACTAAGAACCCACGGTTCTCCTCCAGTTCCTGAGAGCAACACATAATCAATTAAGATACCAAAAAAAAAGAAACAAACAAACAATCTGACAAGCTGCACAACCTCATACAAATTCTCCTGAATTAACAAAAGTTATTCTCACTACCAAATAAAAGCTACTTGAAAAATCGATTCAACAGGGGTGGAGTTAAAGATTTGACACACTTACCAACCAAAGTACCCCGCCTATAGTTCTATTTTACGACATCCATTTTAGTAAGATCAGATTTGAAAAGCGGAAACTGTTCTGCTAACCGACACTTTTTCCTCCCAGCGTATCTTCTCGCCTGCCAGACCAGAGACCAGTTTCTCTGCCCTGTCCAGTTTGATCTTCAGATTGGCCTCCTGTTCTGCCAACTCCTTCTGCTGTGCCTCCTTCTCCTCGTGTTGCCTCTTCAGCTCCTCCATCTTCTTGTTCACCTATCAACAACAAACACAAACTGAAAGTTGAACAACAATTAGGAAAAAAGATAAATCCTTCTCTTGTCGAAAGTCACAAAACATTCTGTCTAAAGTCGCACCATAAATAAGCTTAAAAACGTGAGAAAACCAGCTCTCAACATACATATCCAAATCTTTTATGACTTGTAATTCATCAAGTAAATGCGTAATTGAACGATTGGCTCTAAATGGTCTCAAAAATAAAAAGATGAGATGACTTTTTCTTGATAACCATAACAAATTTCGGAAATCTTCGTTGCAGTCCAAATACGGCTAAAAAGGCTTCAGTATGATTTAGCACTCCATCCTATCTGATAATGATTCTTATTTGTGGACTTATGTAAAACAATCACCTGAATACAAAGTTGATTCACAGATTCGGTGGTCAGAACAAAAAAAAACCACGTCAAACCTTGCTCAACTGAAATCATTTCAACTCTTTTTTTACAAACCATAAACTTAAGTTAATTGGAGCCTAAGCCTGAGAGTAGAAAAAACATTAGCAAAGCTATGTTTAGGGATCACAAACCTCGTCTAATCTTGCCAGCGCCTCATCCAATTCAGCCTGTTTCGCAGCCAGCACTTTCTGTGCATTTTCCAGTCTAGCTTTTTTGGGCGCCACAACTCTGTACACTTTCCCATAACTGTCCATGGCTCGAACCCACATACACAGAGATTTACCAGCCGAGGACTGTTTTCCCACGGTGTCCGGCAAGAAGTCGGGCTGCGCGACATACTGTCCAATCTTCTTCAACATCCGGTCTGACATGTTGTCTTTGTCGTAGTCCTTCAACGACTTGATGAAGTTCTGGTCGTTCAGATCTCGTTTGCCTTCAGCCCATGTCGGCTCTTTACCTTTCAGGATCATGACTGCCTGCATGACTGTCTCGACAAGTCGTGGGGGTTTGGCGTACGATTTGACTTCTGTGATGTCGTTCTTGTTTAGCGAGTCAAGTGCCTGTGAAAAAAATCTACATCAGATTTTGTTTAACTATTTTTCTGGCTGAAAAAATCTAGAAAAAAAATATTTTGAATTGTTTTGAAATCAGATGCCGAGACTATCTATAAAAATTATGTAAGCTGACCGTTTCGGCTTCCCGCAAGGCCGGCATTGCCACTGACAAATCTTCCTCTGCCTGGTCCGCAATCTCCTTACAGGCCACCTTCTCCTCTTCTATCTTCTCCCGCTTGGCTGACACCGTCTTGGCATACTCGTCCGCCTCCCTCTTCTGTCCCACAATCACAACCAGGTACTCCTCGCACTCTTTGCTGATTTTGGCCACCTGCAAAGAATTATTCAATTTGTTCACAGCCAATGCAAATTGAGTCATACGATGATTTTTAACGATCTAAAATTACTTGATGGATCTACATCCAAAAAAAACCTGGCATAGAATGACTGCTTACCTTGGCTTTGGCTACTTCCAGCTCCTGGCTCATCACCTGTACTTTCTCAGAGGTGTCGTCAATTTTTAGGAGACCATTCCTCAGCTTAGAGATCTCGCTTCCAAGCTCCTGTCGCTTCTCCGCAAGCAACCTTGAAATAACTTGATTTGATGCTGTTTTTCACAATTTTGACTCAGAGGTGAAGTTGAACTTCACACTACTTGCGATACAATAGAAATTCCAAAACTCGAGATAAAATGAGTCTCACACGAAAAGTGAAAAACTGAAATGAATTCTGTTGAAAAAATCGTGGGCTAAAATAATTAGGAACAATTTTATTGCAGTTGATATAAAAATCATTTACCTAAAACATGACAAAGATCCAGGCAACACAAATTCCATTCATTTCATAACCAATAGATAGAAACGCTCAGAAAAAAAATATTCGTCAAAAAAACATATTCCAAAAGTTCTGAAATGTACTAAAAAACTTGGTTAAAACCTCGTAACCAAACAACCTGCATATCTAAAGAAAAAATTGGTTATGAAGATTAAGAAGAAAAATTCTTATAAACTAAGATAGAAATGAAAATGAACAAAAAAAGTGAAAAAAAAAATATAACATAGAAGCTTAAGTTTCAAACAATTTCTACAAAAAAATCTGAAAAAAACTCTGAAAACTTATTTCAAAAACCACTCATATCACATTTATCAAATATGAACTTGCTACGCAACGTTAAGAGAGCTGGATCACAAAACAAAAGACAAGAATGACCGTAAAGGCAATAAAAACACAAAAATTCATTTTTTTCTTTCCAAAAATTTCAACCCGGAAAACGAAACTTCTGAATCTCGCCTTATATCATCGTAGTCAAAACAGCCAAGTCATGAAAACTATGAATTTTTTTCCGAAACATATTGAAATTTGAAAACGATACGCTATGGCATCAGCTTGAATCGATTTAAAATAAATTACTCAATTCTAAAACACACTAAGAAATTAAAACTACACTAATTCCACGCAATTTTTAAATAAAAATAAATCAGAAACCTTGCATCCGAAAAGAAAACTGAAAGTTTAAAGCATTGTTTTTTTTTCTTTGAAAACATTTTATTTTCTAACAGAAAGTTTAGGAGAGTTTAAGAACCAGGAAGCCATAAACTGTATTTATCCTCTGGAAAATTAAGAACATATTGTCTGAAAAAAATTTTCCGAAAAAGTTACAGAAAAAAAACACTCAGCCAGTAAGCCGACAAAAATTGGGCATAATGGGCCACATAATATAATTGCGCATGAAGTCCGAACAAAACAAAATTTCCAACATCATTAAAAACTCAAAAAAAGAACGAAAAATTTTAACGCAGAGACAAAACTGAGCTTGGCACCATTTGCAATAAAAAACTGAATGACTGTGATTAGAATCAATCGGAAAAAAATTAAATTGAAAAAAAATTTCAAAAAATCGTTTTTATATTAAAATTGTAACAAGCCCAAAATATCCAAAAAAAGTTACCAGTACTATTGAAAATTATACAGGAGCTTTTTGCATGATAAAAAGCAGCCAAATATTCAGAAAATATAGCTTCCCAAAACCTGTTGCCTCGATAAAACCCTTGATATTAGATTGAGTTGTTTTCGAGAAGTCAAAAAGTTTCAAACAAACCACAAGAAATCAAAACATTGACTTTTCTGAAGGCCTTAACTTTTTTGTTAGAAAACTTCGACGCGAGCGCTTACTTTTTTTTGATTGAGCTCAAAATCTCATATTTGGGATGGTAGTTTTCAAGACAAGTCAAAAAATTTCAAAAAAAGGTTTAAAAAAATCGAAAATTTGACTTTTCCAAGGGCCATAACTTTTTGATGTAGCCATTTACGCAGAAGAGCTTCGCAAGGCTGGTTTTATCCACTGAATCGAAAATCTCAGCTCAAATTTGAGCGTGAAAAAAAATTAAGTGTGAACAAATTTCAAGCCTTTTTCCTGAAAAAGAAAATAAAAAAGTCATCATGACCTATTTAAAAGTCTTCACTGGGTTCATTGACTCTTAAAAATAAATCACAGGTTATGATTTTTTACCAAAAGTTTGTGGCAATGCAAGTGGATTATACTTACTGTTTATAACCAGTGACCAACTCCAAGTAGTTAGTAGGAGTGACATAGTTGTATCTCTTCATCTCCTCAAACATCTTCTTCGACATGTCGGACACAGAAGAGTGCATGGTAGTGAACACCTGTGCCACGTTACTCTTCATCTAAAACACACTAAAATGACAAACACTTCTTATAACGTAGTCCAGGCGGCTTGGTGCATTTATTGCGGCGTAAACAGATGGCAATGGTTAGATGTGCTGTCAATAGTTCAATTTGTGGCGCAATTTGGTTGAGTTAAGCAAATATTGAATTGAAACATAATTCAAAAGCAAAAATAAATAGCATTTGTTACCGAATTATGGCCATGCGGGGTTTCGTGTTGGGCGTTCTCATGATGCTGCGGTAATAAAAAAAATAACATTTTCCTTCACTGATTAAAAACGAAAGATCTATTATTTGAAGATAGAAATAAAATATTATTTTTCAATCATGGCGGTCATAAGCAACAAGTTGTTTTCATTTTCATTAGTAGGCTGTTCGGAATAAAATGATGTTCTATGATGAAGCGCGCTTCTAGAGCTATGAAGCAAAACGAAGCTGAGCTTCGACGGTAAATTTCTAGCTTAATTCAGATCAAAGAATAATTAATTTTTTTTCGAAAGACAGTTCGGTCAAAGAAGCCTTCATTTACCTGGTCCGGGTCGGCACCCTGAAAAGAAATTGGTTAGTTAAAGTGAGCTAAACCTTCAAATGTAATTAAGACCAAAACGTGAGGTAACACATCGTGTTTTTAATAAAGAAGAAAATACTTGTCTCAATATCCGATAGATTTTTTTCGAACCCATATGAGATCTTTAGTAATGACATTGATAGAAAAAAAATGTGATCACAAATTAGGAAATTAATATATTCACAGTATGTGTTCAGTCGTAGTGGGTGGATGATATTTGCACTGTGCACGGTGCATCACGTGACTTTCAGGTGAGTAACCCACGTGATGTTAAAACTTTTTTAAATCATCAAACACACTCATCGCCATTTGTGCCAGGTGGAAAAGTTTGAAGATAAAGATATAAACGATCAAATTGAGAGTCGTGAGACTCACTTGATATCAATTTTGACAAGGCGTCACACATAAGGTAAACCAGTCGAAAAGAATATATCTAATACTGCTATCAAACATTTAGTCTTATAGCTTCAAGAAATTTTTGGGAACCTCGAACCTCCAATAGAACTTAATCCCAAAATAGGCTGTTAGCATTCAAAAACTATAAACTAACCAAAAACAACATCGAAGACAGAATTGCGAGAGAAAAGAGATCAAATCAAAAACTTTTTTGCATTTGAATAAACGAAGCTTCAAACTCAATGTTTGCTTTTTTTTTAAAGAAGCGAATCCTTTTATTTAACCCTTTAGTTAAAAATTGATTTTGTTAGAGGAAATAAAAGGTGATGATAATCAGTTTACGAGGTAAGCTTGAAAGATATGACCAAGCCCAACTATTGGAACTGGTCTATTCTAAGTTAATTCAAGCTCATGATCTCAAGAACCATTTTAGTTCCCCTGAATTCAGAAATGACAAATTAGTCGAGTCAAAATGATGTTCCGACTTAAAAAACACCGAGACCAAATTTCAATAGTTTGTAAGTCGATTTTTATGTCGTTTTTTTGAGGAAAGCGGGAACAACAAAATTGATCGAAATTTTGATTCCAGTAATTGAAATCTAGCTTTACAGTTGGAAAACCTGTGCGGTCGCAATTTAATCCATTCGTTGCCGCAGTGACAATACATTACCTGTTTCTGATTGAATTTCTTAAATTAAAACAATAATTTGAGAATCGCATTAAATAAAAAACACGTCAAAATGAGGCAATTTTTTTTTACTTATTCGAGGACAAATACAAATTAAATCAAATCAAACCAATGCTTCGTGCACATAAACCAAACTTCTTTTCAAACTATGTCATATTTTATCTTCTCATTTTATATAATTTTTGATGTACACAATCACAATGTCTGGAATGCAGATAACTCTTCAAGCCAACCTTGCACGCGTGAAATACCTGTTGGCTTTCCATGAGTTTGGTAAGATTGAGAGAATTCTCTTTTCTACTCATCCATCTCTGAGCAATGTCAAAATTCACATTTCACTAAATTTTTCATGGCCAAGATCAAAATTTACATCTAATTTATTCAATTCTGAGTGCATAGGGAGGCATTACATTTTCCAGTAATCATTCATAACGCAAAATGATGTCCAACTAGCAATATGAAAAAATGATTTGCATAATTTGACCAATTGTGCACGGAAATTTGTTTGAACTGTCACTAAATAATCAATTAAACTAATTAGTCAATAAAAAACTATGAAAGCAAAATGAATAGTTTGGCACTATTGACAATCGTACAGAACTACACGAGTTATCCTAAAAAGATCGGATCTTAACAAAAAAATCTGATAAACTGAATTAATTTTCAAGCCTTACTTCATCAACTTCGCCTAAATCCACTCCCTCGAGATACTTCTCGGCGACTTCCAAAAGGGCATCCCGAGGCCACTCGGAGAACCAGTCGATGGTCGTACAGTTAACAAGAGCAGGGTACATTCTAATACGGTTTCTGAAACAACATAATCTACTTCGATTCATCATCATCATCATCATCGTTATCACTTTGATTATGACATAGAGTTGGTCATTTAATCTTTTGAAATTAAACCATTAAAAAACTAAACTGCTTCTTATAGTTTTAATGGGCGAGATTGTTTTAATGATTTCGGCGAGATTCTTCGACGGCGTACCTGAAAGGTTCTCCAACCGGACTCATAGCCAGTACCACGTGCAAGTTAGCACGCACTCTCTCAATGAAGTATGACTGGATGCTCTCGGGCGTGTCTGGGACTCCCTCTTTGACCGCGATGTCTGCTAACGCAGTCCGGATCTCCTCGAACTCGTCTGGTTTCATGAGATTGGGGACTTCGCCGGAACTGAGGATGTTGTTGATGTCTTCGAGAAAGGATTCTTCTTTAATTTGGGTATCCACAAAGAGGAAACAAGTGGGCTTGTTGTCAACTCCTGCCTGTCTATAGAGACGCTTCAGATCTGCAGGGAAACAAGGTCAAAAATATCAAAGTTGAGTTATCAGAATATCGGACTATCAGACAGAAGCTTCAAAAACGATTCCACTATTTTTAAAGATTACATCTGAAATCAAAGAAGTTACTTAGTTGGCATATACATAGATTCTTTTTTCTAAACATTTTATGCAATATGAATGTCATTCAATCTTACACAAACTACCGGTTTTTTTGTCGATTCCCGTCCTATTACTGTAGAAATTTTATCAAGAAATAAGCCTCAAAACAAAGCAGCCATTCTATGCAAACTAGCTCTGAGCAATATTGAAGACACGTACCGTCCCTCCACTCAGTCTTCCTGTATGTTCTGGTGACTTCGATCTGGAATGTCTTGAAGTCGCAGATATAGGCTGCCAGTCTGGTCATGCTCTGTCTGCCACTGCCTCCGATTCCAATCAACATCATGTTGCCCCTTGGCTGTCCAATCACACGGATGATACGCGCCACTGAAAGCGAACACCAGAATAAGCTTCGCTTGCATAAATAGATTGTTCAATCAAAGAGATCAAAAGAAGTTTCAAAATAACTAGCTTCAAAGATGTTTCAACAGAAGTTTCAAAATTTCAAAATTAAAATCACCACGACCTATTTAAGTGTCTTCACTACGTTCAATGACACTTGACGCCTTCACGTTTTTTTATTTTCATTCATTGAAAATTTAAGATCAAGTTTAGGATAAAACTTATTGAAGCGATACGCAACGTTATCATAGCAGATACTACCAACCATGTTCGATTGCATCTCTGAACAGAACCAAATCCATGGCTACAACTCCTGGCGACGTGTTATACTCGTCAAGTTGTAGATCCATGAAGTCCTTCAAGGGTTTCGGCTCCTCGAAGTCCTCGTACACCTGAGATGGGTTCACGAAGTCTCCGAAAAGAGGCGGGACTCTATTCGGACAAATATTGTGGAAGTTCTGATCAAACATAGCGCCCAAGTTCTTATCAAGTATGTTAATGAAATCCTCTCTGTCAACATTGTCAACCAAGCGATCGTTAAAGACTCTAAACATTTCGTGGATCCACAGCCTAACCATGCTGTTTTTGTTATCAATTATCGTCTTATTAGCTCGCAAAAGTCCCTGGAACACTTTAGCTATGTCTCTTAAGTTGAACAAGTAATGAATTCGGCTTGGTGTCGGCAGATATCGAGCTGTAATTTGCTGGTACATTTCGATAGTAGCACGAGTCATAAGGTCGGCAAGAGGCTTCAGTTCCTCCTCAAAGTCGAATAGTTTTTGGGTAATCATAGATCCGAAGATCCGTTTAACTTGACTTTCAGCAGGGAATGTCATGTTTATAACGTTGAACTTGCTCTGCATACGTTCTGAGATATGAGTTCTTCCCCCGCCAGGTGGACCCATGGCGCCGACTACTTGCATTCCTTTGATGTATTTAACTGTCTGTCGCTGTCTGTCGTACCAGAACTCATAATCCATCCATTGACGAATCAACTCCAGAGGCGGCTGAGACCCGTAAGTATCTTTGGAAGGCATATTTAGGTCATCAACAAAAGTAACCAATTTTTTGCCTCCGAGAGGAACGTACACACCCTTGGTTCGCTTTTCAACTTTCGTTTCAATGATATCTTGAACATTGTTCGAGCTCGTTTGCGCAGACATGTTGACGTTAAGGACACTAATTTTGGCGGAATCGAATCCGGCAAGGCATTGTTGGACAACGCTGGTTTTTCCAGTTCCGACTGGACCGACAAGAAGTACTGGTTTCTCATTTTTAACCAGCATTTTGAGCAAGTATTGGTATCTAACTGTATCAACAGTGGGTACAATTAGTTTGTAGAAGGGTAATTTAGGGTCAAATTTCCAGCCGCCTTTCAATTTCTCCTCCCAGTGTTGCCAAGTTCTAGTCTTTCCATCCACATAGTACTCATAAATCGAGTCTTTATTCGGGAAAGTGCCCTCCATTTCTCGTAAATAGGTATCGATTTTCTTCCTTCCAGCTTCGTCCACTGCTGCACACACGCTCCAGATCATGCAAAACAGGAACCAGTATTCGAGCATTTGAGGGTAGTTTGTCTCATCCAAATGATCGACACCGTTTTCTTTGGTCGCTACGGCATCGAAAAGATAGCACAGACTTTTGATTATATTATACTCCGGAACTTTAACAATTTCATCACAGTTTATCTTTTTGAATTCCATTATCTTTTGGATATACTTGTCAAAAAATCGTTTCAAGTGCTCTACGGAATGCTGATCCGACCGTCCCGCAAGCCAAGAGGCGACAAAGGGTTTGAACCCGAGATCCACAACGTCGTAGTACACCATACCACAGCGAGAAACGGTGGCGGGAGAAGCGACGGCCAGATCCGCGACCTCAAACAGCAGAGAAACTTGTTCGGGCATCGTAATACGGTCACCGTTTGTCAAGGTCAGAACTTTGTTGTCGTCCATCACTGAGTTCATGTTTTCGATCCAAACTGCATCAACTGGTCCGTCAAATAGAATCCATTTTTCTTCTTCTTTTTCGTCTGCGCAAGCGTTTCGGAATACTGAAGACAAAACACCGTCGGTCCATTCGTTCGTGTTGAGGTCGAACTCTCCGTAAAGTTCACCCAGGTTCAAAGCTTTCGGATTCATTGGATACTCTTTGGCTTTCAAGTAGGGCTCTTTTTTGTCGTTAAGTCGGTTCAGCACACTTCTGAGAACCTTCCAAGAGGTTGACTTACCAGAGCCAGTTGCACCAACTAACATAGTAGAATGTCTCGAATTTTTCGTCTCATACAGCTGGATAACTTTGGTTTCTGTGAATATCACATTTTGTAAATTCTGAGCTTTCAACTCGGCTACAATTTCAGTCTTCATTTTGGAATAGTCAACTGTAGGGACGTCAATTCCAGGGAAAAGATCGGATGTTATCCCGTTGAACAGCGGCAGATCTGCGGCGGTAAGTTTGGCTAAATTCATGTCTTTCATGGCCAGAAGAACCAATTCTTCGTCCGGTGTGTCCGGTTTTTGTCGTTTCTTCACGCCAGCATATCTCAACACAGAAGTCAACCCACGCAGTCCAAAATCGTAATGGTCTTGTTTGGAAAGTTGTTGAATTGCAAGTGTGTATAGCGTATGTACTTTCTTGGCGAGGACCTTCGTGTTTCCGAAACCCTGGCCGAACAAAATGATTTCAGCGATATAAGCCGAGTCAGGCACGACCATAGAGATTGGTCGGAACATGGACTTCAAATTGTCTGGTAGTTCAGTTCTTCCAGCATATCCAGGGTTCATTGTGATGAAGAGACCACATGACCAGACGAGGTTGATCTCGCGACCCTCGAAGGTGAATCGGCTGAGGTTCTGGGAAAGGGCGGAGAGAATGGAGAGGATCTGCTGGGCGACGACAGACAACACCTCGATGTTGATTCGGTTGAACTCATCGAAACAACCCCACGCTCCAGTCTGAACAAACATGACATCACTTAGTGAGATTATAAATTAAGGTTATTTTGACAAAGATTTTTATATTACAAGTTTGCAAAATATTTCGTTTGAATAGGAGAGATAAAAAAACAATCGAACATAGTATTCTTAAAGAAAGAAACCACGTAAACTGAAAGATTCCAATACTGACAAAAGCAATGGTTGCACTGTTTTTTTTTCGCATTCTCATTTCCAACAACTTGTCCCTACTCTCGATTTTGGTTAATCGAATTTTTTAAAATCTCCAACCTGAGCGAGACCGGAGAACATCCTCCCCATGGACTTGTAGTCCAGACCCTCGGAACAGTTGACAACGATGACGTAATCGCCCAATGCCTTGCCCAAGTCCTTAACAGTCTCTGTCTTTCCTGTTCCCGCAGGACCCTTCGGACTTCCTCCTCTGTGCAAATGGAGTGCTGTAGTCAATGTCATGTAGCACCTGGAACGGAAAAAATGCAGTTATATGAGTGGGGTTGAACGGCACAGTCAAAAGATTCTGCGGCACAGTCAAAAGGGTATTTGGATTTTAGTATTAACAATTGAACAATTTTGATAAAATCATATAGAACAAGACTTCGAAGAGACTTTTCAATCCTCATTGAAAGGCGAAAAAACCTACTACTTTTTTGTAACGAATTTTTTTTTCTAACGATCTTTTGTCTACTGAAAGGAAGAGTATTTCAAATAAACTTGTTTTTGATGAACTTGCCTATCAGTTAGAGGGGTAATGACGAGTCTTCCAGAGTTGCCAAGGTATTCGTAGCCATACTGGAACTGTGTACTGGTCTGTCTAACAACACAGTCGTCTATCTCCTTGTCCCAATACAACCTCAACTGCATCAGCCAATCAAAAGCTGTGACGTCATTGCAACCAGACTTGATCAACTTTTCGATCACATCTCGCGCGTGAACTTCAACAGTTACAAGAGCCACAATTTTCAGTCGCATTAACTTCGGTAAATTCGTTCGGATGGCTTCCGAGAACTTGTCAAGCATAGTTGTTTGTTTTCGTTTCAAAGACTTGAGCGCTTTTTTGTTGCCTCTTTCTTTAGTCAAAGTGAGAGCCCTAGTACAATCTTGGGTCCATTGAATTTGAGAAGCAGAAATCAACATTTGGCCTGGCCAATCCTTGCACCATTTGTCTCTTTTGGTCATACTCTTTTTGAGAGCAGCACGGGTGTTTTTAAGAGACTCTTTGAGAGTTGCTCGCATCGATTTTTCGACCTCACAGAGCCAGTTTTCGACTGCGCCGTCCAGGGTCTTGTTTTGACCTTGAGTGAACTCGACCAGCTCTCCATCGGCAGAGAACATTCCAGTACCCTTTTAATGAAAAAAATGATTTACTTCACAAGAAAATCCTACAGTTCTCAGCTTAGTTTTCTGCCAATGTCATAGACTTGTCAGAATCTGAATCAAGCATGGAACTACAAGTTAACGCATTGCGACAAACGATGATTGCGATGATGACGATAACAGTCACGTTATTAAATCAATCAGCTACAAGTACGACTATTTATTTTTTCTCAAAAATGAAAACTTCGATGATCTCAAGCTGAGAACTAAACGACTTATTCGGAAAAAATTATTTGAACTTGCAAATGGATTTGATAGTTTAATTATATATCCAAACAAAATTTACCCTCTAGTCAAACAAAAATCTGTCCCTCATCAATAACACTTTCTTCGTATCTCACATAAAAAAAGTACCTCGAGTTTGTTGGAAAGTCCAACTGCCTTTTGCATGCGCAGTTTGACGATGTTGTCGAAGCATTTCTTCAGGTGGGGTTGGACTGCCTCTGGGTTCCTACTCTGGCCCAGGATCTCCAGCAGGTCGTCATTGGACAGGAAGTAGAACCTCGGGAATGTCTGTCTCTTAGTCTCCAGGTACATGTCCAGGGACTTCTGGATGTCCTCGAGCTTCAAGTTCATGTCATTCAGTTTGTCAAATAGGCCTGATGCAAATAATGCAGTTTAAGCTGACGGTCAGAGAAAAAAAATCACATCATGGCTAACGGGTAACTACCGACATGATCATACAGCAGATAGTATTCCAGGGGTGGATCTAGGATTTTCTCTTCTTGAGGGGGGGAAGGGTAGCGGATTTTCAAAAATTTTTGTTGAGCTTTTTTTAGGTTGACTAAATTGATTTTCAGGGTCCAAAAATTTTTAGGGTCCGTCAGCAAAATGGATTTCACAAATTAGTACAAAGGGATGACGGACCCTTTGGGTCGGCATACGGTCGAATCCCTGAGGGGGGGGGGGGCGTAATACTACACACTAGGGTGTGATACTACACCCTAAATCCGCTGGTGTAGTATGCACCTACAAGAGTATCCGGTTGCTGTGCACATGGTACAGAATTCTTCGACCAAAGTAATTTTAAAGAAGCAATTCTGAAAAAAAAGCATTGCACAGGAAAATTTCCACCCGAAAAAGACATGGAAGCTAGGTCCACAAAAAAAGTGAACCAAACGCTATAAATTTAAAGCAAAGTCAACCAAAGTTTTACTACAAGGTTCTGAACAACACTTCTTTGGCATCCAAGGTAAACAAACAAAGTTCTTAACAAACACACGAAAATTTTTTATTTTTCATTCTAAAACTGTCAAGAAATCTACGATTTTATTGCATTTATTAACAAAACTGAAAAAATGCAAAAAGTTTCAAGTAGCCCAAATCACGTCTCTGACAGTACCTCGAAACACAAATTAGGCTTCCTGGCATGCTGGTGCTATAATGAAGATCCAGGAGGTTACAAAGGCTCACCATGTCGAGAACTTTTGGTGAGTCTTAGTTAGGCTAGAACTTTCATATCGGGATTGGATAGGAACTTGGTTAGGCGAGGAATTTGGTCGAGAGCTTTTTGGTCGGAAAATTTAACAGCTGGCATTTGGCACGGCGGTCCGACAATTTGAGATTTTTTTTGGCTTCGGGAGGGGTATCACTTTAATTTTTTCCAAATTTAAGGAACTATATTTAATGAAAGAGAAAGGTTAAAAATCATTATAATTAATGCTATTGCTAATGGACTAATTTGTTTTAGATAGAGTGTACAGAAACTATCTGGTCCTAAAGATTTTGCGGACTTTCTTGCTCTTATTCAGTTCGCTGTTTTCAACGTATTTGAACTCGAGGCTAAGCTTGAATGTTCTTTTTAAGGTTGTTGACTGAGTTTTATCACTACTGTAGACTCTTGAACTAGTATACTGAACGTTAAAGGCATTTGCAATGTCTCCATTCGAGAAAACTTTTGTCGTGAAAATATTTGGTGATCTTCCTACTACAGACTTACTTCCATTCAACGAGCGGACCATTTACTAGACCTTACCGGACGACGTATGATCACTAAACGTCTAGACAATTTCTCGCCAATTTTTTCTTTGTCTTTCTAGCAGTTTTGTCATGATCTTTTTATACACATTTAAAATTGGGTGGGACGGGTTCAAACTTACATTATGACTCTTTCTTGTGCAAATTTCTATATTTCATTGAGGGTTGGAATAAAGAAAGCATAACAGCAAGCGGAAATATGGTGACAAATATCCTGCCAAAAGTTTTCTTGCTTAAGCATGTTCAATAAAGTTGGTAAAACTTTTTTAGTCTGCCTTTTTGCCAAGACGGCTTTATTAAAACAGACGGCGTGGCCTGGGAAAAATCTGGAGATCATGCTAAGGTGCTACTGTCGTATGGGAGCGAGCCCCGTTTATTGATGATAGTTAGAAAAAGTAAAAAGAGACTCAAATATTTCAAATCCGAGGCTGTCACTGAAAACAATTAAATTAACCAAAAAAGATATCCTTTTTAATTTTTTATGAATGTGGTCAAAATAATCTGTGCCAAGTGCACAGCCACTGGCTATCCTTGTTTTCAATTAATTGATCGTTTACTATTCCGTTTCTCCCTATCTTGCATCTGTTTGTATTGTGTTTCACTAGTACGGACTCTTCTCTATTGTGTTTCACTAGTACGGTATCGTTTATTTATTTCTTAAATATTGAGCATGAACGAAAGAGCAAAGATCTAATCTATTGGCTAGGCTTCAACGAAAACGAAACTTATTACACCGAGGCAACGTTGCGCTTTGCACAGTTTGCGGAACTACACTTATAGGAGTAAAACAGTAAGACACTCAAGAACTATCAAGGAAGACTTCGAACGTTGTAACCCGTTGAAGAAATAACAAGAAAAAAAACAAAAAAGCCAAAAATTTTTCAAATTTAAATCTAACTAGCAATTAACGCACCTTCGGTGCTTGGAAATTTTTCTACAACTCATGAAAAAAACCGCATAAATTGGAAACAACATCTGCAAACTTTTAGTGTACTCTGACTGCACCCAATTACAGGGTTGGTATTTTTTAAATTCCCATTTTAAAAGCCTCATTTCGAAAACTTAATGGGCCTCTGGAGAAATTTGGAAGCCAGATTTGCAACCACTGAGACTCCCTGAGAGCACCCTACTATAGGGTTAGGAATCCAAAATTTTGTGAATTTTTTAAACCTGAGATTCCCGAAAAAAAATTGAAAAAAAAAAACGTCTTTTCTCGGAAACTAAAAGGGTTTGAGCATTCATATTAAGAGGCAAGATTTGAGACGCCTGGGTGTACGCTGACAATAAGATTGTATCTTCATCAAGTTAGTAGTTTCAAAATTTTTTGAATTTCTTTGTAGATAAGTTCTTTGAGAAATTTTAAAAAAATCGAAAAACGTCACATCTCGGAAACTCAAAGCATTTTAGCAGTCGCGTTTAGCAATCGCATGTGGCAAGATTTGCAACTTTTTAGAGTACCCTGACAACACCGAACTATAGAGTTGGGATTTTCAAATTTTGAAAAATAATTAATTTAAACTTTCTGAAAATTTTGAAAAAAATCACAAAAAACGGCACATCTCAAAAGCTACAAAGAATTGAGCAGTGATATTTGGAGGCGAGATTCGCAATCCTTGAGAGTACTTTGACAGGACCTAACTACAGGGTTGGGAATTTCAGATTTTTAAAGAATAGAAATAATTCAAGTTTTCTGAAAAACTTTGGAAAAACCGCAAAAAACGTCATATCTCGAAAACCTCAAAGAATTGAGCAGTCATATTTGGAGGCAAGATTTGCAATCGTTGAGAGTACTCTGACAGGACCTAACTACAGGGTTGGGAATTTCAGATTTTTAAAGAAAAAAAATAATTCAAGTTTTCTGTAAAATTTTGAAAAAATCACAAAAAACGTAATATCTCGAAAACTACAAGGATTTGAACAGTCATATTTGGAGGCAAGATTTGTAACTCCTTAGAGTCCTCCGACAGCACCTAACTACAGGATTGGGAATTTCAGATTTTTAAAAACTAATAATAATTTAAGTTTTCAGAAAAATTTTGAAAAAATCACAAAAAACGTCATATCTCGAAAACTACACTTGAGCAGTCATATTTGGAGGCAAGATTCGCAATCTTTGAGATAACTCTGACAGGACCCAACTACAGGGTTGGGACTTTCAGATTTTGCAAAAAAAATTAATATAAGTTTTCTGAAAATTTTTTGAAAAAATCACAAAAAACGTCATATCTCGAAAACTACAAGGATTTGAACAGTCATATTTGGAGGCAAGATTTGTAACTCCTTAGAGTACTCCGACAGCACCCAACTACAGGGTTGGGAACTTCAAGTTTTGTAAATTATTTTGTTATTTGAAATTTCTGAAAATTTTTGAAAAAATCTCAAAACTCGTCTTATCTCGTTAACTAAAATGTTTCAGGCATTTAAAATTGGAGGCCAAATTCGCAACCCCTAATTCGATATTGGGCTGCTTAACTTAAACTCGGTAAAATAACCACTAAAATCAAATTGGAAAATCGAAAAAAAATTCTTAACCATTGCAATATACGATATAGCTTAAACATGCAAAAATAATACGTTGAAAAAGCTTAAACATGGCGAGATAGTGAAGCCCGCATTTAAATATATAATAGATTAAGTTTTTCGGGAGTTCAAAATTTCATCGATCTGATAAATAAAAATATAATTTTGTAGGAATCAAAATTTAGGTAAATATGGCGACATATTTATAGCCGACAGCCAATTAGCTGAGAGTTAACCAATTTTGTTCAACAAAATCTGAGTAAAAATACATGCACTGCCCAAATATTATCCACGAGAGTATATATATGCATATATACACTGATTGCAAGGGGGTAAACTTAATTCGGAATATGAACCGAGAGCTAAATTGACACTCATAAGTCCGAAAAACAATCAGAAAAATAAAACCGATATCTTACAAGTATGCACACAACTAGATCTACCAAAATGATTGAAGGTATTTAAAAAAACATGCCTAGACAAAAACTCTAAGCAAATTAAAAAATTTCCCCTTAGAACTTACAAACCGATTTCGTAAAACTAAAACCACCATAAATAGAAAATTTTGATTCGGCCGGATATTTAAAATGTTACCATGCTCTAAATAAGTATGCTGCAACAAAAAGACCCGCTAGATGAATGAGTCCAGAATTCAGGAGACGAAACCATTGAAAAAAAAGTTAATTACCTTGAAAAGTCTAGTAAACTGTTTACAATTCCCTTAGAATTAGACACCGAGGCGAATGTACATTTTTAGAAGTCACGGTAGCCAATCACTTAGACAAAGCTTTAATTTCAAAAAAACATCAGAGAAAGCAACTACAAGTAAAACAAAAAACACATAAATAACTCATTTTTCAGGTATTCGCCACAAAGAAATCTCCATATACTTTTTGAAGAGCATTTCAAAGTCTATTAAGAAAAATTTCATGCGTTATTCCAATTTCTTTATACAAGCATTTCCTTATAAAGACCAAGAATTTCTGTCTAGGATAAAATATATGCATTTATAGGAGATGCCAAAAACAAATAGTTTCAAGATTGGGGCATCTTTGTATAAATCCTCTACAAAAATAGCCCAAAATCAGATAAACTTATGATC